CAGATGAAGGAGCCAGGGTCCGCCGAATCCTCGAAGAGAATTGGATGTTTTCCAAATTGTTGTAGGTTACGATCATTATGCCTATGACGTGAGTCCCTCTTCCCTGCCCTGCCGCTAGAGTTGCCATAGATGCGTAGTAAGTCAAAATGGTAAAATGGTAAGACACATTTCTCCTTTATAAAAACTACACTTCCAGATGCTACAATTTTCTATTCTATTTGCCTACGTGTTAGTGCGTAGTAAATACGGAGACATTCAACGATGCCTATGTATACCTCAAGATAATTGTGAAAATCTATCGATAAAGCAGCCAACTCCGTTTCTCCAAGCCACTATATCGAGCCCATTTCAACGCATCCGTTTGTGTAGACGTCGAAATATAAGCGCTATAAGTTTGCCAAATCAGTGGCAATACGTTTAACCCTTTGTTGCGAGGTTTTTCCTGGATAATGACGTTTTTCATAGGAATGGAATAAGATAAAATTTTGTGTTCAAATTACAAGTATTGTTTTTTTTTCTCTCCATTTTCTCCTATAACTAAAAATTTCGCCTATCGTCAAGTCATTCGTAACTTAATATGCGTGGTGCACACTAAGCACGCTAACTGACGAACAGCAAAACTAGAACCTCATTCCCAGTGATTCCTGCTTGTTTCCTTATCTATTTTGTTTTTGTTGAATACATCTTAGTCAATAGAACACATTTTTACACTTTGTTAGGCAAAAAAACATGTTTCACTGGAATTACCAGTAAGGGTGCCGTCGCTGATAGGGCTTAGTGTGTAGTCTCACATAAGTTACAAATAACTCGAGTTTACCTGCCCTTGATTTGCTATGTCTTACTTTGAAAGTGCTGTGCAAAGCTATGGAACAAACATGTGCTATGAAACATGCTATGGAAAGTGTAAAAAAAAACCATTCTCGGAAACTCTCTGTTGCCAAGTTTTATTGGCATGCAAGGCTGCTCCACAGACTGCATATTTCCGCTAGGTGCGTGGTTGGTGAGGACTTGAATGTAACGGCAACATCTTACTCCGTCTTCTGAATGAAGATCGTTTCGCAAAGTGGTCTTGACATTCTGCAGCGATTTGGCGTACACTTTCCCAGACGGACTTTCAACAATCACTTATGACCAGTTGAACAATAAAAAGTTTGGTTGTTAATAAAACATGTGACAATTTTTAGGAATTTCATATTTGAACTACCCTCAATCCTATAAGGCATTTTAAAAAAATCGTGGCGATGGCGCGACCGCGCGCTGCACGCACGCCACTTCGGAGAACGCATTTCTTACGAGGGAAGTGTCAAAAGTCGCAGGGGCCCCTTGAGATAGGTATCATCTGAAGCTTGTAACGCTGATATCAAGACAGTCTCTTGTTGTATGATCGGTGAGTCAGCGTGTGGACTGTGAGTGGACTGTGTGTTGTTGATCGATCGGCTGCCACGCGGGACTTACGCACAGCGAGTACACCTCAAACTTGGGTAATTAAACTTTTATTACTAAAAGCAACTAATAACTACAATGCGACTACGATAATAACAGACAAACAATACAATATGCATATATGTCAAAAGGATGTGCTGTGAGTTGCTGTGAGGGTCCTGTGCGGGGGGCTGTGACTGCGCTGTGAGGGTCCTGTGAGGGGATGTTGACAGATATGCTAAAAATAGATGAATCATCGAAAATACTAAATAACTGTAAGAAGAAAGCAAAGAAATAAAATGGTACAACGCGACTAACCACTACTTATATATACTTGTGAACATAAACAAACTAAGAACAAGCAAGATAAATGGGTTGATAAGCTATCAAAGAACATTATGCTGTGGGAAATCTTCGGGCCTATTCCCACCTTGCGCGCCGTGCATTCCTCAGGGTCCAAAGAATGATACGAACCGCAAGTTCGTATACTTGTGGCTGCAGAACGAATCTGGGTTGAGAGTTATTGAATTCAATTTGCAGAAATTTAACAACGCAAAGTGCAGCCAAAACTACCAAACCCTTGTATCTTGAGCTTAAACTTGAATGAAAAAGTTTATTAGTGCTGAATGTAGTTCTACCTTTTATAAAGTTATGCTGTAGTGCTTAACAAGCGTTTGAACAGTCTCCGTGCTCACAGAGTACCTCTAAACAATGTATAATTTGGTGATTAAAGTGCTCGTAAGGGTTGTTTCATACTGCCGCACTGACTGCAGCAGGCTGCAGCAGACTGCAACTGACCGCACTGACCGCAACGGCCGCACAGATCGCTGCATTCTCTCGTAAAAAAGAAAACAACTGCGATTACTTCAAATCACCGTGATTTACGCCTAGGAAATTCATACGTTCTAACTTACCCTTTTCAATCAAATTTTGGCAATTGTTTTTCTTTGGTATGCTTACATTTGTTCTGATTCCTATTGTTACTGCACATACCTGTTTTACTCTCGCTTGTGTTGACTTTTGGGTCTATGCATATATTGTTGATGATGGTTTGGGCTACAACTATTTATCCTCTCCATCTTTACGAAAAGCTGCAGCGATCTGTGCGGCCCTTGCTATCAGTGCGGTCAGCTGCAGTCTGCTGCGGTCAATGCGGCAGTCTGAAACAATCCTAACTCCCTACCCAGACTCGTTCTGCAGCTAAAAAAGGCTGTTGTGGAATCAGCTTTCCAAGCTGCTCTAGAAGGTACCTACCTCATATCAAAAGGCCATTGCGACTTCTGATACTTTACTTGTTAGTTTTCATCTCTAGTCAAACGGTTTTTTTGCTCACGTATGAGTATATAGATAGACACCAGAGGTAATTGAGCTAAGCGTTGAGGTGATGTTTTCTTGTGTGAGCGTTTTATGCCGTGGGCGCAAAGTCTGCAGTCAAATCCGTCGTCACGATTATATAAATGATCATTACTTAACAATAAAGCGCTAAGCGTCTGTCTGTTTGTGTGTCTGTGTGTGTATATCTATCTGTCACAAAATTCATAGAGCGTGTTGTAGTCAAGGACTTGAGCTGAAATTTTGGTCATGGCACCCTACCAGCATGTAGGTAAATATTGCAAAAGCACACGCCGATCCGATAATTGGAACCTTCAGAAACTGGGCGTCAAACGGGTCCACGCGACTTTTGACCGACCAATGTGGGTCGATGATTGTACTTTTTGCGAAGTTGTGGATTTGCTTAACAAGTAAATGTGCAGACCATAGGCTTAAGTCCAGAAAGTGAGCAAAATATCTATTTTTACGCAAAATCAGCGCCAAAAAGGAGTGTTTGCGTAGATCATCAGTTTGTCAAGATTTCATCTAATTTTTTGCGCAGATTTCTGCTCAGAAATGTAGGGGACAAAATAACTGTCTTTTGTAAAAACTAATCGGCAATAATATCTTCAGTATGGCCGACAATCTCTTTTGATCTTCTATGCAAAAACTTTCTCTTCCTAATTTACCGCTCCTACATGGAAAAGCTCATAAAATGAGTAGTTGTTTACAATTCGTTCATGATGGTCAGCATCGCATAGTGAGTTTCAAAGTGACATCATGCGAGCAAGAGGAATGCATATAGATAGAGGAGCCAGTGCGAGCCTCTGCGAAGCAGAGGTGAAGCACTGGTTTATAAATAAGTCCGCTAGCTGAAAGGGTGAAGTTAAAGGCAGTAACCAGGCTAAATCTGACCCCCTCCGATTAGTGCCAATTCTAGATGTAGGCCCCAAGAGAGGGGCATCTGGTTGGTCGGGTCCTCTAAGGCGGTCTCTGAATGGAGACAGTGGACCTGGAACATCCAAAGTGCCAACAATCCCCGTCCAGATCCTATCATGCTCCGCCCACCCATGTACTGAAAGCCATCTGCGCCAACAAAATAGGGTCCCAGGTCGGGTTTTTAGGGGTTTTGGACAACTTGAACTTCATAACTGTGATCAGAGCCACACAATGGCCCCAGAATGGCAAAAACATGGGAGGTGACTTTCTGAGTGGACGCTGCCTTAGAAAAAAATTTCGGTTCTGTCGAATTTTCATAAGATAAAGCTATTCGTATGTCGAATTTTCTTGCAGGGCTGGTTCGAATGCGGAGTGAATCGTCCATGAAAGCAGAGCAGGTGTATGTCCTTCTGCACCGCTCCGAAGTAACGCTACTCTCACCCAAGGCTGCGCTAACTACTCGCCTTTCTTATTAGCAGAGTTTTAGACATTTTTGACTATTTCGAAGCCAGCAAATGCACATTCTCAAACTTTTTCAGTTCTCCAAACGCCGCAAAATTACGTGCTAAACTGAAACCTACCAAGAAAGAAACCTGTCAGAGTTACCAACGTGTAACATTTCTTGAGTTTCATGTTAATCGAGATTTCCGAGAAAACTTAATTCTTCTCTTTGGAAGAGTCCTTTTTGAACTTATTCAGTTCAGAGCACCTGCATCTTTAATGCGACAAAATGGCTCTTTCGCTTATCGCCGCGGCAGCGCCAACCAATGAAAGGCGCGCAGTAATTAGCCTGCGAAGGCCAGCGATGCAGAAGGGCGTTCTTCCGGAGCAGAGCTACTCTCTGACAATGATTGAAAATTTTAACTCACCAATTTAAAATTGGCTTCCAAATATGCGAAAATGTTCTGAAGAGGACATTGCAGGATAGTTAGTACTGTAAGCTCTTTTAAAGCGTTTTTTTTTCTTCTCACCTCCAACCTACAATAAGCAGGCTTCAAAGCAGCGTAGACGCATCTTCAGTCGCTTTTCTGCAGCGAATTGAATCCATCGTCCACAATCTAAAACTTGATGGAAAGAGCTCTACAAGTGCCTTCGAGTGAAATGTACTGAATCCCATCTTTTTGCAGTGTTGTATAAACTACATATCTTCATGAAAGTTGTTAGTGTTGATTGAAGGAGTAATCTATAAGACTGCCAGCTTGATTTGATACACCCTCTACAATCGTATGACGAAATGAAATTGTGTTTATTCATAAATCATCGATGTGGTACAAAACGTTTCTCCGAAACAGTGAGGAGAGAGCTTCATTCTTAGCTAACTATCTACCATGACCAGCGACTCAAAAGACAAGGATTCTGTGATAGGAGAGAAGTCACTGGCTGAATCGTCTGCAACGACGATGAGTCTTAAAAGTGTACATTCCGAAGGGGACAGTTTCGTATGTTCCACATTCCTCTAAACTGCTGAATGCGTGACGTCATTCGAACATGTTCAATTTCAGACAGAGGTTGCGGATAATTGGCTTCATTCATCAAGTTTTTATCATGGATACCTCCCTCGCGAAGATATTCCAGCACTCCTTCTAAAGCATGGCGATTTTCTAGTGCGATTAAGTGAGGTGAGTCATTTCCTCCTTGTAGGTACTTACTAACTTGCGCAGTTTTCTTTACTTATTCAAAGCAACCGCTAGTAAGAGATACGATCGAAATGCATGACCTGCTCTGTCAGAATTTCTCTCTTTGCTGTAAGTTCGCTCTTCAATACATGAGGTTGATTTTTCGCTTTTTATGAGCAATCAATAATTAACCGTGGAATTGGTTCGTAGATAATCATTTGAAGCATTCAAAACCAGCTGTCTCGTCTGCATCAAAACTGTCAATTTTTTAGCTTGACTTGAGCGCAATCTTATGCACATCTCGACATACTGAAAAACACAGTTCTACCTTACCGCTCCAACCGATCGGCAATGACTGCTCGAATGAAACAGCAATAGGGGGCAAAGCCATTGCAGATGTGACTTGTGCAGGATCCGGCCGTTCACACATCAGCTCTTTTAGCTTTACTTACACGGAAAGCCTTCACCTAGCAACATTGTGCACGGATATTTAAGCTACCAGTGCGTCACCTCTGCTTCGCAGAGGTTCTCACTGGCTCTACTATCTATGTGCCTTACTCATTCTCGTAAAATCATGGCACTGGAACTCACCGCGCTATGCCGACTACCACGAATAAAATGTAAACAACCACTCATTTAGAAAGTCTTTTCACGTGAGATCGGTGATTTCGCGTGGATGAAACTTTTCGCAGGAAAACAAACGCAAATTCGAATAGGTTTTTGGATTTGTCATTACTTGGTAGCCGCCATGAAAGTAATGATAACCGTGAGCTACATCTTTGTGCGAAAATCTTCTCAAACGCTTAGCTAGAACCTTGGCAAATTGACCATTTACACAACCAATTCGTTTTGGCGCCGTTTTCGTTATGTAGTAAACTTTCAATCACTTTTCTGGCTAAACTCCATCGCTTGCACATTTGCTTACCAAACTCATCCACGACTCTGCAAAAAGTGGTGATACGGACCGAATTTTGCGGTACAGAAGCCATGTGGACCCGTTTGGCGCGCAATTTCCGAGGGATCCACTCAACGAATCTACTCGTGCTTTTGCATATTGGGCTTCCATGAAGGTAGCATGCGCTATGCAAAATTTGGGCTTAGAACGTTTGCTGGAACACGCTCTACGAATTTTGTAACGGACAGACAGACACACACACGTACAAAAAGACGTAAACAACCCTTAGCCCGTTATTATAAGTCATGATTTTCCCAGCAAGCTTTTCACAAAACGTTGTTTCACACGCTTTCCAAAAAGGCTATGTCAATTGTGTCAACTGATTACATTTTTCTCCTTATTCTATTTTTTGGTGAGGGGTAGAAGCTGGTAGAAGCTGATCCGGTCATATAAATGTACGAGTGCGTTACCTTTGCTTCGCAGAGGTGAGCACTCGTTCTAATACTGTCTGAATGCCCTACTCATCCTCGCATAATGATGGCATTGAAACTCACCGTGCAATGCCGACTATCACGAAAAATGTAAACAACTACTCATTCCAAAAACATAACTTATAATAACGGGCTAAGGGTGTTTACGTGTTTGTGTGTGTGTGTGTGTGTGTGTGTGTGTGTGTGTGTGTGTCTGTCTGTCTGTCTGTCTGTTACGAAATTCGTAGAGCAGGTTCCAGCCAACCTTTTGAGCCCATATTTTGCATGGAGCCAAAAGCCCAATGCACGAAAGCATGAGCGGATCCCATGAATGGATCCTTCAAAAATTGCCCGCCAAGCGGATCCACATGGCTTTTGGCCCGGAAGTGGGCCTGTATTACAATCTCTTGCGGATTTTGGATTTATGCCACATGCACATCTGTAAGCTGAGCGTTTCAATGCAAAAATTCTCAAAAAAATTCATTCTCACGCGGAGGCGGCGCTAAAATGTGACTTTTGAGCAAATCCTCGATTTTCGAACGTTCTACTGAAGGAACTGAGGAGTTTTTGCTCAGAAATGCAGTACGGAATCGTCGTTGTCATCGTGGCAATCGTTACCTTATTAGCAAACCAGAAACTATTTTAAAAACGTATTTAATCTTAAGCTGCAAAAATTTTTTCGCCCAACATCACCGATTTCTTATGTTAGGGCATTCGAAATGTGTAGTTCGTAGTAAATCATTTGTGATGCGCGGCATTACAGGGTGAGTTTCATTTTCAGAGAGAGGGAAGCAAGATGCATTGGGTAACAAAGTGCATGTGGTGTATTTAGATGAAGCAACGTGATCGTAGCTTTGCTTCTCTCTTTCCCTCAGCAAGTCATCTCAGTGATTGCAGCGAACGAGATGTTGCGAGCACGTGTACGTGCTGCGTCAATCCACGAGCACTTACACACCATCTGCTGTTTTTGCATTAACATCAAATGTAGTAAGTTTTCAAGCAATAAGTGCATATGACAAAGACGCTTATAAGGAGTACATGAACCCATTACATAGTTCTGAGAACACGGCTACCCAGAATTGAAGCCAATCAAAAGTCAACATTGAAATTAAAGACTATTGTGGCAGTGGTTTACTGC